ACCTCGCCATGCGGGCGACGCGTAAACGATGAATTGTAATTAGTCTACACTACCCTGTCCAACTGTACAGTTTTAATTACGCTGCAAATGTTCTGGCTTGATGATGATTTGCTGAAAACATATGTTTACCAACTTGACTTCTCAACTTAGGAATGGGAATATTTGCAGAACTTAAACTTAAGTACACTAAGCCAAAAACTAAACTCAAACTAATAAAAATACATAATAAAGTAACAAATTAATAACTAAAGGAAACTGAATAGAAAACGTTACCGTAATAAGTAGTAAGTTATGTAAAGTAAACTACAGTGTTGCTCATAAGGAACCCTTACCCTGTCCTGAATTGACGTAAGCAAAGAAAAGCACATGCAGTAATAATACTTAGGGGATTGGAGAGATAAAGTACTTTGCAAAGGTCTCGAAATGATGTGCACTAAATCAGTGATTTAAAAAAACGATGCCCTAATGCCATTCACACTGGAGTCAACAAAAAGAATTAGAGTGAAAATGCAATAGCCGAAAGAGCTCACATCCAGTCCGGAAGAAGAGGCAGATGGATCCACTTGTCATTCGTCGTGCTTATCTCACGCAAACCGAAACGATCAACACTGAAGATGACTACGATCAAGATGATACGTGTGCCACGAGCACGCAAATGGTCGTTCGCGGGGTCGGCAACGATCATCACAGCCAAGAAAAGGGAGAGGGCGCTTGCACTGAGGAAGTACCAGGTAGGGCCTTCTCTCTCAATGATACTGCTTGCTAACAGACTCGTAACGTGAAGCCCAATTATGGAGAGGGATGAGACGGCTAACATTCTCACCATTGAGCCATAGGTCTGGTCCCCAGTTGTCTGTTGTGGTAAATCAGGAGAATCCGCAAGCATCTGAAAAACAAATCGAGAAGAAGGAGGTACGCTGACACTCCTACTGCGCAATGGCATTCGTAAGTTATTGCAATTCTACACCACATTGGGGAAGAAAAGATGTATTAGCGCGTTGGTTTGAAATGAGCCGAACCACCTACTGTTTGCATTCTTCAAGCTCCGGGTTGAACTTAATTATGAATGCAATCAGAACAAGGTCGCATTGCAGTTGCATACTCCGACCTAGTACGACAGTATGACCGGATGAGGAGAACTCTGTTTTTTTTTGGGTTCCAATAAAGACCCAAGGATTCAAAGCACAAGCGTCGACTCCAAGGTGAATAGTGGCGAAAAATGAATCATAACTGGTACTCCTTGTCCCCTAATCTACGCAGTAACAATTATGGAAGTAGAGAATTCACAAAAGTGGAATGATAAGCGGCAGATGACCTCCTGACAGGTTCTATCTGTTTACAAATGCACTCAATGTCCGCTACTAACCCTGTTGTCACGACAGTGGTCATATAGAAAGGAATATGCTCGTCCTCAGGTCTGGCAAGACGTGTAGCTTTGAGCTGGTAATGTGTCTAGTAAACAGCAGCTACTTCATCACCTTAAGGAAAGTGATGGAGTGATACAACAGCTCGTCCATCGCAAACGATGAAAACTTGCATTGTCTCGAGGGTATAGTGATATTTCGACCG